TGGCCAGCTCAGCCCACCAGGGGGCGGGGCTGGCTGGCATGTGGTGCTGGGGGATCGAACCGCAGTCTCTGTGCTTTGCCAAGCTTGTTCCAAGTAGGTGCTTCAGACCACTGAGCCATCTCGCCAGCCCCACAAAAACATTTTAAAAATAAAGTATAGAACTAATTTTGCGGTTTTCAACTCTGAAAACCAGATGTGATGTTGATGATGCTGTAATGTGGCAATCTGGAATGTAAACCATGAAATAAATCCACGAGACTTCAGTGATGAGTGTGGTTGCACAGCATTCTGGGAAGCTGAGGCAGAAGGGTCATAGCTTTGGCCTGGCCAAGCAACTTGGTGAATCAGTAAGATCCTGGCTCAAAACACAAAATGAACAGAAAAGGAGGGGAGAGAGCTGAGGATGCAGCTCAGTGGGGAGGTCCTAGGTTCAATCCTGAGGAAAGAGGGAAAAAAAAACCCTAAAAACCAAAGTGTTAAATTGGTATTCTGGACATGCTGCATACAGTATCACTGTGACTAAGAGCCTAAAGCCTAAACTTGAGAAAGGAGAAAGAAGTCCCCTACATCTGTGGAAGAGGCTCAGGTATTTTGTTCTTTTTTTTTTTTTTTTTTTTTGGCAGAACCGGGGATTGAACTCAGGCCCTTGCGCTTGCCAGGGAAGCGCTTATTCCGCTGAGCCGTCTCTCCAGCCTTTCAGGCACTTTATTCTAACACTCTTTCCTTTGGAAAAATCTGCCTGCTTGGCGCCAAGAAAGTACAGGATAGCCACATAAGGAACTTTCTCCCACTGATACTATTCAGATCAATAAAACACTGTTAAAACCTACTTCATTTAGGGGCCAGGGAGATGGCTCAGTAGGATAAGCGCTTGACTGGCAAACACAAGGATCTGAGTTCAATCCCCAGTTCCACCAAAAAAAAAAAAAAACAACCTACTTCATTTGTAAATTTACTTAATTACACCTCTTCTTTTTTCCAGAACTGGGGATTAAACTTAGACCCTTATGCTTGCTAGGCAAGCACTTATTCTACTGACCTAATTTTTAACACCATTTTATCACCTATAAGCAAATGGGGGGCCTGCCCCGTAGCTCAGCTCTTTAAGTGGCTGCTCCAAGAAGCAGCCAGGCTCAGCTTGCTGTGGTTCATCCCCACAACTCCAGCCAGCCAAACCTGCCCTGAAGGCATGCGGAGAAAAAAAAAAATCCACCTATAAGCAAATGAAAGCAAAATTCTTAAAATCTGCCAAAGATTATACCCTCTAAAATAGTTTTTTAATTGTGGAAAAGTGTTTCTATCAACTTCATTTTTTTGTTAGTTTGTGTTTTTCTTTGAGATGGGTCTATTTAGTTGAGGCTGGCCCTGAAACTCATGGCGATCTTTCTGCCTCAGGATCCTGAGTGCTAGGATTACAGGTGTGTGCCACCCTCCACAACTGCTTTTTTCCACTTTTTTTTTTTTTTTTTTTTTTTTTGCAGAACCAGGGATTGAACTCAGGCCCTTGCGCTTGCCAGGGAAGCGCTTATTCCGCTGAGCCGTCTCTCCAGCCTTTCAGGCACTTTATTCTAACACTCTTTCCTTTGGAAAAATCTGCCTGCTTGGCGCCAAGAAAGTACAGGATAGCCACATAAGGAACTTTCTCCCACTGATACTATTCAGATCAATAAAACACTGTTAAAACCTACTTCATTTAGGGGCCAGGGAGATGGCTCAGTAGGATAAGCGCTTGACTGGCAAACACAAGGATCTGAGTTCAATCCCCAGTTCCACCAAAAAAAAAAAAAAACAACCTACTTCATTTGTAAATTTACTTAATTACACCTCTTCTTTTTTCCAGAACTGGGGATTAAACTTAGACCCTTATGCTTGCTAGGCAAGCACTTATTCTACTGACCTAATTTTTAACACCATTTTATCACCTATAAGCAAATGGGGGGCCTGCCCCGTAGCTCAGCTCTTTAAGTGGCTGCTCCAAGAAGCAGCCAGGCTCAGCTTGCTGTGGTTCATCCCCACAACTCCAGCCAGCCAAACCTGCCCTGAAGGCATGCGGAGAAAAAAAAAAATCCACCTATAAGCAAATGAAAGCAAAATTCTTAAAATCTGCCAAAGATTATACCCTCTAAAATAGTTTTTTAATTGTGGAAAAGTGTTTCTATCAACTTCATTTTTTTGTTAGTTTGTGTTTTTCTTTGAGATGGGTCTATTTAGTTGAGGCTGGCCCTGAAACTCATGGCGATCTTTCTGCCTCAGGATCCTGAGTGCTAGGATTACAGGTGTGTGCCACCCTCCACAACTGCTTTTTTCCACTTTTTTTTTTTTTTTTTTTTTTTTGGCAGAAACAGGGATTGAACTCAGGCCCTTGCACTTGCCAGGCAAGCACTTATTTACTGAGCTATCTCCCTGACCCCTTTTTTCCACTTTTAATCAAAGTCATGGCTTTGAAATTAAATTTCTCTTCACACTATAATAAAGGGAAGGGACCATGCATTCCTGTACTGCTCACTGCTCTATCAAGACTAATAATTACCTGGCGTGAGGGACTAATGGATTGAACCCAAGAGCACTCCACCAGTGAGCTACATCCCCAGCCCGTTTGATTTTGAGACAAGATCTCACAGATTGCCTGGGGTCTGAAACAAAACCCAGTGGCTGGGATTACAGGTACAGGCCCCCCTGCTCAGCTATGACAGACAGTTCCAGCACAGACGAGACAGCTGTGTGAAGGAAAATATTCCTAGTGAACAGAACAGTTAAATTTTTCCAATGTGTTCTGTGAATAAGGTCTAACACTAAGAGCTACTGAAATAATCTTTATTTTTTATTTTTTACTTTAAAGCACTCATACCTTTTTCAAAACTGAAGAATCCGGAACTTCAACTGTTGTGATATAAAACCATGTTCTTCTGTACTGACCAAAGACAAAGGGATGGAGAGGTTTGTTTTCATCCATAAGGCAGCATTTTCTGAGCAGCAGAGTCCTTAATGTGGCTGTCGTGGAAGGATAACACCACACCCACAGTACTTCTCCATTTGTGTCCTTTTCTACGGTGGAAAGATGGTCACTGTGAGAATGTCAAACAGCAGCAAGGAAGTGAATTGATTGGTTACTTAGAAGTACTTAATGGAATCAGTTTAATACCTCATTTTACAAAGCAACCAAGAGAACTTGAGACCCCAAATCCCAGCAAATTCATGATGTTGAATATTACACCATTGAATAAAAAGCTTTTCATAACAAGCTATGAATGAAACTATTTTGAAAATTGTGTTAGTATGTGTTTGCAGTACATATGGACTACATTTATTGTGAGTGGGTACATGTACATGTCTTAACTCTTTTTATCTCCCCTATTGTCCCCCATCTCTTGGTCCCCTTCCTATTTGCAAAAAAAGCCATCTCCTGTTTCCTATTAACTATTTATTTATTTATTTATTTATTTCCAGAACCAGGGATTGAACTCAGGCCCTTGCGCTTGCCAGGGAAGCACTTATTCCACTGAGCCATGTCCCCAACCCTTATTTTGTATTTACACCTTGGGTTTCTCATTTAAGAGAAACCATTTAAGCTTCTCTGTCTGATTTATTTCATTAAACATTATGATCTTAAACTGCTCCCATTTTCCCTCAAATGATGTGAATTTATCCTTTTTTATGGCTTTCATGTGTTGATGGAAATACAGACTGCTTCTAAGATTTAGCTTTTAGGATTTGTGCTGCAATACACATGGGCAGGCAAGTATTACTCTAATACGAAGTCTTCAAATCTTTTGGGAAGATTCTGAGGTGAGTTGCTGGACCAATCAGGATTTCTCCTTTTGGTTTTCTGAGGCATTTCCATGCTGATTTCCACAGTGGCTTTACTAGTTTACCTTCCCACCAACAATGCAGGAGAAGGGTTCCTTTCTTTCCATGCAGCCGCACCAGCCACAGAGCTAAAATTTAACTGAAACGTAAGCTTCAGTTATCTGTACGGTGCTTCCCTATCTCCTCCCACACGCTTAGTTTTATTTAGTTGGAAGAATCTAACAAATATATATATATATATAAAGGTTGATTAAGAAAAATGAGCAGGCTAGGGATGTAGGACAATGGAACAGCACTTGCTGACATGTACAAGAGGCCCTGGGTTCCATCCTCAACACCACAAACCAAACCAAAAAGTATTTGAAAAACAGTAAATGAAGAAGATAGTACAATTTCAAATCATGTTACATATCAATTGTACAAATTCTGTATTTGAAAATGTGTTTTGTTCCATTGGGGATAAAGCTAGGGCTTCAGATGAATTAGGCAAGCTCCCTACCACTGAATTGTATCCCTGACTCTTAAAAAAAAAAAAAAAAAAAAATATATATATATATATATATATACACATACACACACACACACACACACATATATATTTAGTACAGGGTCTCACTACACAGATCGGACTTACAGTGATCCTTCTATGAGGAGGCATCCTGTAGATGACCTTGAACTCACTTATTTCAACATCCTAAGAGCTGAAATTACAGGCATGTGAAAAAAGCTTTTTCAATCATAAAGGTTATCCAATCATATGCATGCCTTTATCATCAAATACCTTATATACAAAAAAGGAATTTTGCTAATAACAAAATCTTGAGCCAGGGAGATAGCTCAGTAGAATAAGTACCTAACTGACAAGAACAAGGTCCTGAATTCAGGACCACCTCTCCAAAAGAAGTTGTAATGCTATATTTCACTGGGTCAGCCAGATAGCTCAGCGATCTAAAGCGCCTGCTTAGGCAAGCTTAGGCGGGCACAGGGACTACGGTTTGATTCCTGGCACCACATGCCGCACCAGCCCTACTCTTAGAGCAGGCTAAGCCAGTCAAAAGAAAAAAAAAAAACCTTGAGGGACTGAGGGTATAGCTCAGTAGTAGAGCACTTGCCTGGAATGCATAAAGCCCTAGTTTCAATTCTAGCACTATGAATAATTTTTCTTAAGGGCCAGGGAGACAGCTCAGCAGCATAAAAAAATAATTTTTCTTTTAATTTAGAAAAAACAGCACCAGGGGGCCAGGAAGATAAAGATAGCTCAGTAGAATAAGTGCTTGCCTGGCAGGCACAAGGCCGAGTTCAATCCCCGGTACCCTCCCCCCAAAAAAGAAAAGACAGCACCAGAAGAGCCAAAAATTTTACAGTAGCATCTACTGAATATGTAGTGGTAAAAATTCAATCTTTTACCTACAGATTTGTGTGTGTGTGTGTGTGTGTGTGTAACCAGGGATTGTACTCAAACTTTGTGCTTGCCAGGGAAGTACTTATTCCACTTAGCCATCTCCCTGGCCCCTACCTACAGATTTCTTAAAAACTCTTTTTATGGTTTTGTTTTACAGTACCGGGGATTGATCTCAGGCCCTTGCACTTGCCAGGAAAGCACCTATTCTTCTGAGCCATCTCTCTGGCCAAAAACACTCTTTTTAAAGCATGTATGGTAGCTCAGGCTTATAAACTAAGCACTTTGGGTGGGCCAAATATCTCAGCAGATTAAAGGGCCACCAGGAGTTTGATTTCTGGATCTGCCATGCCGACCCTGTCCCCAGGGCACGCTGAGATTGAGCTTGATGGCACAAGCCTGTAATCCCAGCTCTTGGGAAGTTGTAAACAGGTGGATCACTACAAGTCCCATCTAGTAGTGAGACCCTGAACACCCTGTAGACCCTTCTCTAAAATACAATCAAATCTAAGCATTTGGAATCTGAGGTGGGAGGACTGCCTGCCAGAAGTTCAGTTTGAGATCAGCCAAGATTACATAGTAAGGTCAAGGCCAGCCTGAAATACACAGCCAGTCTCTGTCTCAAAAACCTCCTCCTCAGGCCAGCCAGATAGCTCAACAGATTAAAGTGATCCCTGGCCTGCACAGAACCGGTGACTGAGACTGGGCGTGGTGCTGCGCACCTGTAATCCCAGCACTTGGAAGGCTAAAAAACAGGAAGGATCACAAGACTGATCTGTGTAGTGAGACCCTGTACTAAATACATTCAAAAAACAAACAAACAAAAAAAAGGCCGGGGAGATGGCTCAGTGGAATAAGTGCTTCCCTGGCAAGCGCAAGGGCCTGAGTTCAATCCCTGGTTCCACCAAAAAAAAAAAAAAAAACTAAAAAAGGATCTTCTATTATGGAAACTATCAATCATATATAAAGTAGAGAAAATAATAAAGTGAGGGCTGGTGAGATGGCTCAGTGGTCTAAAGCACCTACTTAGAACAAGTTTAGCAAAGCACAGGGACCGCGGTTCAATCCCCCAGCACCACATGCCAGCCAGCCCTGCCCCCTGGTGGGCTGAGCTGGCCACACACACACACACACACACACACAAATAAATAAATAAATCAATGAATTTATAAAAAAATAAAATAAAAAAACAAAGCACAGGGACCGCGTTCAATCCCCCGCGTTCAAACCCCTGCTGGGCTGAGCTGGCCACACACACACAAATAAATTAAAAAAAAAAAAAAGAAAATAATAAAGTGAATTCCCTGAGCTTCAGGGATTATCAACTGGTCCTCCTTGTTTCATACAAGATATGCATGAGATATGGGCCCTCCCAGTCTCTCTTTTTTTTTTTTTTTTTTTTTAAGACAGGTTCTTGCTCTGTAGTTCAGCCTGCCCTTGAACTCACTCTGCAGCCCAGGCTGGCTTTGAATTGATTCTCCTGCCTCAGCCTCCTGACTACATGTGTGTGTCACTATGCCCAATTCTCCCACCACCACCTTTTTTTTTTTTTTCTTGGCAGAACCAGGGATTGAACTCAGGTCCTTGCACTTGCCAAGCAAACGCTCATTCTACTGAGCTATCTCCCCAGCCCCCCTCTTTTTTGTTTTATTTTATTTTCTAGGAAATAAGAGATCTAGGGCCCGGGAAATGGCTCAGTAGAATAAGCGCTTGCCTGGCAAGTACAAGGGCCTGAGTGCAATCCCTGGTTCTGTTAAGAGAGAGAGAGAGAGAGAGAGAGAGAGAGAGAGAGAGAGAGAGAGAGAGAGATCTGACTATGTTGCCCAGGCTGTCTCCAAACTACAGGGCCTAACTTCTAGACTCAAGCTCCTGCCTCAGCCTTCAACGTAGCTAGACCTACAGATGTGTCACTCCCTCCTCATTTGAGGCAAGTCCTTTCTAAATGCACATCCATTTGAAAAAGAAAAAAACTAATATGAAAAATAAGTGCAGGCGAGACAGCTCAGCGTTCTAAAGTGCCTGCTTAGGCAAGCTCGGGGGCCTGTGGTTCAGTCTGGCACCACATGCTCTGCCCGGCGCGCCCTCAGGGCAGGCTGTGCGCATATATCACTGAATTAAAAATACAATAAGTCATCTTTTTCTTTGCTGTTACTAAGATCAGAGTTTTTTAACTACGCTTTAATTTGAAAAGTACCTCTGGTAAAACTAAGATGCCTGATGTACTTAGGCTTTGATTTGCATGCAGTGTTTTTTTTTAATCACTTTAGAAATGCATACAGAAAGCCTCTTCTATATAAATGCACTCTGAGGCACTGAAAAATGATTAGCATAACTCTCCAGTTTTACTAAGCCTAAGCAATGTGCCTGTTCATTTAGGGGACAGACTGTTTGGGAGTGTGTTAAAATCTCGAGAGTAACGATTTTTGAAAGGGAACCGACAGACGTTCATTCATTCAGGCAACCGGGTGCTTCCTGTCACCTAGGGACAAACGGTTCTTCGAAACATCCACCCACCCCCGAAGCACCGCACTCGGCTCACGCACACACTCCGGGATGCCTGAAGCTCCCAACGAACTTCCCACCCATGAATTCGTCCACACGAACCAGGTCCCAAGTGTTGATTATGCAGGAACTCCAGAGCTCGATTTTAGCACGAAGGAGCATGGTTAGGGTTAGAAGCTAGGTTGCCGGGGTTCCAATCCTGGCTCGGCCACGTCCTCCCATGTGTCCTGAACAAATGACACCCTGGGCCTCCAACGCACTCCACCCACCCACCCACTCGGGAAGCGGTCAGCGGGGGATAACCGTGCACCACGCGCCGCAGCCCAGCCCGCCGAGCGGTCACGCGGATTCCCAGCGCTCCGGCCCGGAGGGACCCGGTTCGGATCCCTAGCCGACCAGCCAGGCCTGCGCAGTCGCCGAAGCCCCGGCACCGGGACCTCGGGGTCCCGCCGGGCAGCCCCGCGCTTCGGTCGGCCTCGTCTGCCTCTGGCCGGGCAGGCCCCAGGCGCGACCGCGGCAGGACCGACCAGGCGGCGGGCGGGTCCCAGCGCAGGAGGCCAGCCCGCCGCCCCCAGCCCAGGGCCCACACCGAGGGCGCCGCCTCAGCACGCAGACTGAGCCCAGGACCCAGGAGGTGCGGAGGCGGAACTGGGTGCGGCCCTGGAGGGCAAGGCGCCTGCGTTCTCACCGATCAGCCCCACGCCGAGCAACAGCTGAGTGTCCGCCGCCTCAGCCGCAGCCATCTTCCGCCGCCGCGCGCAGCTTCAGCCCCTGCCCTCAGGCCCCGCCCTCCGAAGGCCCCGCCCACGTCGAGCCCACCCTCCACCCTATTCGGTCCTCCTCGGACCACGCCCATCGTCAAGTCCCGCCCCATTCACTGGAGGCCCCGCCCCCCTCTCCAGACTTCCTCCAATGGCTGCTCCACTAGATTCAAACTGGTGGCTGCTCGCTCTGAAACCTCGTTCGCAAGACAAATCCAAGACTTTATTCCAAGACTGCAATTTCTCTAATCCGATTCTTCACTCTCTTTCTCAATCCACTCCAATTTCCTTTTTTTATTTCCTCATTCTGTCCCCACCCCTCCCCAGTCTGGCTCAGAAGAGCATAGTCCTTAGTTCCTGGAATCTGAGGTCTCCATTCAGGCATTCCAAAATGGAATAAAACAAAAAAGGAAAAAAAAAATCGTATCTAGAAAATTAACTGAGTATTTAATATGTATTGGCCACAGTTGATCAAGGGAGAACATTCTAAAAATAAAAAATAAAATAAGAGAACATTCCAGTAGAAGAGAGGGACAGTTGTCATGTCAAATATAAACAATACTAGAACAGCTCACAATGACAAACTCCATGAAAACAAGAGAACCCTGCAGGATGTTACCCTATTTCCTCGAAAATGAGACCTAGCCAGAAAATAAACCCTACTATGCTTTTTAAGGATGCTCATAATATAAGCCCTACCACAAAAATAAGCTCCCGTCAAGATTGTCAGTGAAGGGGCTGGGAAGAGATAGCTCAGCAGATTAAAGCGCCTGCTTTGGTAGACGTAGGGGTCGGAGTTTGATCCCCAGCCTGCAGTGCTGGACCTACCTCAGGAATGCGCTGAGAGGGCAAATGAGACTGGGCACCGGTGATCCCCTGTAATCCCAGCACTTGGGAGGCTGAAAACAGGAAGATCACCACGAGTCTGATCTGTGTAGTGAGACCCTGTAGACCATGTACTAAATACATTAAATAAATAAACAAATAAATAGAAATAAAGTACATCCATTGCAACACATGATGGCTATGTTGAGTTATAAAATAATAATGTTGATATACAATTACATAGCATTTATTTATTTATTTATTTATTTTTGGCTTTTACATTTTTATTTGGGGACAGGGCAGGGGTCCACTTCCCTGTCCATTACAGAGGTGCTCACAAGTTCTTCAGCCACTCCAAGCTGGGGCCCTGGGCAGCCTGGAGGTGGCTGGGCACCTCAGGCATGTTCCCGTCATCTCGGACGGGGCCTGGGTAGTTGTAGGGCATGGCCTGGTTCATCGTGCTGGAGTATTTGGTGTAGGGACTGATAGGGGGCATTATTATAGCAAGGCCCCCAATAGCGAAGGACACGACCAGCACTGGCTCTGGGCCCAGGTGTTCTTGAGGAAAGCGGCGACTCCTAGAGTGGAAGGCGAGGGTCACCCTTGCGGAGCTGTCCATGTGACCTCTAGCCCCCTCGTGCCAGCAGCCCTGCAGGGGTCCCTGATGTGCTAGGCTGGGGCACATGACGTGCTAGGCTGACCCAAGGATGCCTTAGCCTTGTGCTGCGCCTCCGCCCCCAGACCGCCCGCGGTCCTGGCCCCTCCTGGAACCCCTAATTTTTTAATACGTAAAATAAATGATGGGGCTGGTGAGATGGCTCAGTGGTCTAAAGCACCTACTTACAACAAGCTTAGCAAAGTACAGGGACCGCGGTTGGATCCCCCAGCACCACATGCCAGCCAGCCCCGACCCCTGGTGGGCTGAGCTGGCCACACACACACACACACACACACACATAAATAAATAAAATTTAAAAAAAATTTTTTTTAAATAAAATAAATGATAATATAAATTATAATTATTTATAAATACCCAGACAGGCCTTTGGAGGTGAGGTAAATACCTATGTAAACAAATGTACTGGAGACATACTGCTGAATGACCGAAGTACAAACACAAGGCACAAATAATACACATGTACACTTGATAATGAATGAACAGGGTTGTATCTAATACTAATCTTTTTTTTTAAATTTTATTTATTTATTTATTTATTGTGTCTGTGTGTGTGTGTGTGTGTGTGTGTGTGTGTGTGGCCAGCTCAGCCCACCAGGGGGCGGGGCTGGCTGGCATGTGGTGCTGGGGATTGAACCGCGGTC